ACGTTCCGCTTTCCCGGCTTATAGTTCACCTCGAAGTTATGTTTCACAAGGAAGGAAAGCCATCCAGTCATCCTTTGCGAGAGGTGGGGCGACGGAGTTGCAGTGCGTAGTGACGCATGATCTGCATAGATCACAAAGGCTTGGATCCGAGCAGGTGGACCCTGAACTTGACAAGTGCTTACATCATCGCATGTAGCTCCTTGTCATGAACTGGGTAGTTCTTCTCGGCATCTCTGATATGTCGAGATTCGAACGCGATCACCCGATCTCGCCCCTCAGCGTCTGCCTGCAGCAGTGCACAGCCAATGCCAAAGTCCGAAGCGTCACAGACGACGCTGAAACGACGATCAGGATCTGGCAGCGCCAGTATTGGCGCATGCTAGAGGTTGTCTTTTACTCCGTCAAAAGCCTCCTGATGTTCGGCGTGCCGACACCATTCCGCATCCTTTTAAAGAAGGTAGGATAATGGCCGGGCTATTCCTGCGTAGTTTTCGATGTATTTGTGCAAGTAGTTGGCGAGACCAAGTCACTAACGCAAGTCCTCTTGTTTCTTCGGAACAGGTCAGTCTACAATGGTCTTGACCTGGGAGGGTCCGCTTGGAGGCCACGCTTTCCAATAAAGCACCCTAAAAAGGGAATCTCTTCTGCGCAGAATATGCACTTGTCTGCATTGGCGTACGGTTTGTTCGTGCGCATGGACTCAAGCACAGCTCTTAGATGGACGATGTGATTCTCCTCATCTGTCCTCCTGTGCTCCGCACGACTGTGAACAAAGATGTCGTCAAAGTATCTCTGTGCATACGACCTGTGGGGCCTGAACAACTGCGTCGCAAGACGATTAAAGGTTGCTGGTAAATTTAACAGTCCTTGAGGCATCATCAGCCACTCCTAGAGCATGCCGCTCGGAGTGCTTACTGCTGTCAGCGGAATGTCACTTGCTTTTCATGAGCAATTGGTAGAAGCCATCTACCAAATCGAGTGCACTGTACCCCGTTCACCCCACCATGTTGTTCTGAAGAACATCCTTTCTAAGAATTGGCATTTGTGCCGGATTGGTGGCCGCGTTGAGCATATTGTAGGCATGAACGATACGCCACTTGCCGTTCGGCTTCCGAACACGATATGTGGGCGTCGAATGGGGAGACTTGCTCTCATGCACCATCCCTGCGTCGTGCTTCGCACAGACAAATGCGTCAATGACGTCGCACTGCTCCTTGGGCAGGAGCTATTGGCGTGTTACGCAATGTTTGGTTGCCGAAACTAGGTCAATCTCATGACGCACACCTCGGTCCGGAGGTAGGACTAAAGGCGGGTCTTTGGAGACGGCGTCTTGAAATTCCTTTCCCAAAGGATAGTACGGATCCAAGGGATTCCGTAGGATCGACGATCCACTTCGTGCGTTCAGCACTCTCTTTGTGACTTCCAAGACAGCTTCATCCAGAAGCGATGACGAGTTTGTCTCTTCGTTCGGTCGTAAAATGACCACTTCGGCCAAATAGCCTGCCTTCAAGGCACTTCCGAACTCTTCAAGAGACATCTCATCCAGCTCAAGAAGAGCATATAATGCAGACATAGCCTCGAGGCGGACTTCGCCATCTACCTCCCCCGTCATACCGTTGACGAGGGTATATAACTGTGCACCGTCGTCTACGGTAGA